GGCCCACTCCGCGCCCCTCCAACTACGAGGACAACTCGTCCCCAAAGTTAGGCTACTTTCCGCAGGCCGCCTCCTATCCGGCCCCCAATCCCGAAATCTCGTCCAAGACTGGGAAAATCCAAATCCAGCAGCACCCAGGAAAGGCTGCTGCTGCACACAATAGTCATGACGCAAAAGAGCTTCACATGTTCGTCTGGAGCTCCAGCGCGTCTCCAGTGTCCGAAGCCGCCGCCACCGGGAGCGGGCTTCACGTGTTCGGTGGCCCCGATTTCAGTGCCTCCGAGCAGTCGGGTCGATCGGATCCAGGCGCCAAAGAAATCAGGCTACTCGTTGCTGATCATCCTCAAAATAGTGAGCCAAAAGGTAAGACATACTTGGATAAAAAAAACTATTACATTTGTTTGGGTGAGATTTTATTATTTTTTAACATTGAACAAACAGGGGACCACGGTGGAGATGAGTTCAGCTTTGGCGGAGCAGGAAACGAACGTGGGAATGAGGAAAAAGACAAGGAAAGAGCAAATGGGCTGTCCAAACTGGGCCCAAACTCGACGGCCGATCTCGACCAGAAGGCCGCCGGAGGACATGAAGCGGGCCCGGGAAAGAACATGCCGCCAGCCAGCGTGATGACGCGCCTCATCTTGATTATGGTGTGGCGCAAGCTTATCCGCAACCCCAACACATACTCCAGCCTCATTGGACTAATTTGGTCATTAGTCTCCTACAGGTAGGAATATATGAAAGAAATTTATGAGGAAGATTAACTGTTTGTTTGTAGATAAGGAAATATCTGTCAACATTATAACAATGTTATGTTGGGTGTTTTGACCTTGTTCAGGTGGGATGTGCATATGCCTAAAATTCTTGAAGAATCAATTAAGATACTCTCTGATGCTGGCCTTGGAATGGCTATGTTTAGCTTGGGTTAGTTCTTTTTTAATTTTTTTTTTAATTTTTTTTTTTTCAAACTTGCTTGGATTAGTTCTGACATTGAATAGTCTGTTTACTTGTCTAAAATCTTTTTTTTTTTTTGCATTAATTTTTCCCTCATCAATAATAGTACGTTATGTTTGTATTATATTGAGGCATTATTGCAAAAATGATTCATTTTTTTTTTCGGGATTAAACATAACGTACGGTTTTTTTATTAGTAATGTTCCAAAAATGATACAAATTGCAACATAACGTACTTTTATTGATGAAAAGAAAGTTAGTGTACCAAAAAAGGAATTTAGACAAGTAAACGGACCAAAATTGAAACTTTTTCGTGCTAAAAATTCTGACCACCCAATGTAATAGCTTATTAAAATACAATATGTTATCATCAAGCAATAAATACAATAAATAGACTTGCCCGTAAAGGGGACCGGAGAGAGTAGATGATGTTGTATATGGGTTGGTACTTAAATAGCAAAGCATGGTGGTTACTGGTTAAGGGTTTATTAGTCTTGTTACCAAGGTCTTCTATTGATTTTGATTATTATTCCTGTATTCACAGGCTTATTTATGGCTCTTCAGCCTAAGATAATTGCATGTGGGAACACGGTGGCTTCTTTCGCCATGGGCGTCAGGTTCCTCACCGGCCCTGCAGTTATGGCTGCCGCCTCCATTGTTGTCGGCCTTCGTGGCACTCTTCTCCACGTTGCAATTGTGCAGGTTACACTATACTGTATTTTACAAAAAATAAAATACAAATATTATTATGTACATGAAAAGTACTGTTGTTCAACCCAGCTCATGAACAATGATATTATAATTAAAAAAAACATTCTGTGCTGCAAATGTTTTGCCTTTTGTCTAACATGTTCATATGCCGCAGGCCGCACTCCCACAAGGGATTGTCCCCTTTGTTTTTGCAAAAGAGTACAATGTTCATCCAGCCATTCTTAGCACCGGGTAAGAAAATCTCCACTCGTACGTACGTGGCTTACGTTCAATTATCGTGATATTTATAAAAATACCGAATTCATCTTTTATTGATGAATCGATTTGACTAAATCTTGTGACCGGTGTTTATCGGGACTTTTTCAGGGTCATATTTGGGATGTTGATTGCACTACCGATTACACTAGTTTATTACATTCTTCTTGGCTTGTAACAAGTTTCAGTGCCATTCAAGACGACAATTAAGCTAAAGCAAGAAGTTCCATTGATCAGTCAATGCATCGTCTACAATATTCTTGAGGTCGCTTGTTTGGCTGCATCGACATTAAATTTTCCGAGTCGTCAAGAAATTATTACGTCATATGATTTCCCAGATATTTGGAGTACTTCATGGTTATAAATTTAGATGATCCCCTGATTTAAGGATCATGTGCTTCCAGTGACAACATAAATCCATGCAAAGAAATAAAAATACTCATGGATGGTCAAACATCGATCACACAGGAAATAAGGGAATACATGATCACTATTATCTTGGTAAATTTTTTGTTGCAATGTTTTGGTTCTGTTTAGTGATTAATTAGGGTTAATCTTATCAGTTTTTTGAATATTGTTACATGTCTCATGAAGGTGTTCTTAGTTGTGGTTGTTGTACTTCTTTTTTCTTGTTTGCTTGACATGAATGTATATTAATTTTTTTTTGTCTGCTTCACATGAATGTATATTACTTTAGGATGATTAGTTATTTTTTTTTTGGTACAATTAGGATGATTAGTTATTAATCAAGGGTGACTACATTTGTAAGGGCGATTTACCATCAAGACCCTCCCTCTCTCTCTCTCTCTCTCTCAAATAATTTATACGTTCGACAATAATATATAGTTGGCAAGTCACACTACAAAAAGATTGTTATATATTTTAATGATATAGCTTCCGTTGGAATGATTTCAACGAAAATTCTATCGAAAATATTACATTAGATTGAGTTTTCCATTTGAATTGTAGATAAAATTTGATGATTCCAACGACTATCATTCTAGCGATTTTTTTACTGTAGAAATTTTCATTGAAATTTTTATTTCCACACCTGCTGGAACATCTACCGTCAGAATCATCAAAATCCAACAGAAATTTCGATGGAAAACTCATTACAGCTAAATATTTTTGTTAAAATTTTCGTTGTAGTCTATTATGAAATCACAACGGAAATAATAATATTGAATATTCATTGTAATTGTCGTTAGAATTCTATTGTGATGTATTTTAGTTGGAATTTTCTATTAGAATTTAATTATTTTCTTATAGTTTGAGTACCATTGTACAAGTAATATGTATTACCCAACAAAGATACCATATAAATAACTTTTTTTTTTTTTTTTAAAACAGAACAACATCTAAAAAGGAGGGTAAGGGGTTAAGGCCGGACCCCCAACCTGCATATAAATAAGGTCCTAAAAGGGCTGAGAAAGTAACAGTCTACAAATTAACAGTGTCCGATATACATCAAGTCAAACAAAAACAAATAATAAACAAGAAAAAGATACAAAGCAGCAAGTAACACAAAAGGTGTCAGATCTTGGTCCGAGAAAATTCCAGGCAAAAAGTCCACACCACGGAAAGCCAGAGACATCAACAGGTATGGACCGCTATGCAAATTTGAATGGTATCCCATATGGTTCATTCGTACAAGGGTACGGAGGCGAAGATGAATATCATCGGGATGGAGGATGCGCCTTTGGGTGGTGATGTCCCAATACCAGCAAGGAAGTCAGCAGGTCGATTCCCCTCGCAGAAAATGTGCGAGATCTGATAGCAAATCGACCGAAGTGTAGCTCTGATACGCATGAGAGGATTTTAAATCTGCCACGGGCCCTGATGGCCCGAGGTCAATAGTGTGATGACAGCAGTAGCGTTCAACTCTATCAGAATGTGGGAGGAGATTGAGACGACAATCTACGTATAGACCAATCTGAAGCGTTTGAACCTCCACGTCATAGCTCGAGAGGCCCGAAGGGGAGCGTGGAAAGCGGTAATAACAACACCGCTATGGTCCATGATCAGGCCCCCACCTCCGGCAACTTCGGTAAGTCGGTTAAATGAACCGTTAGTGTTTAGCTTAACCCAAGGGGCTCAGATCTCAACCAGACAACAGCTCTGGGCCATGGGTGATGGGCAGGCGGCAGCAGAGGCAGAGCGAAAGCGGTGAGGTGGCATACAGCCTGTCCAATATCTCGAGATGAGTCTGGCCAGAGCGACGAGGAGAGAAAGGTGTCGGTCAACCTGCAAAATAATATGGGAATACAAAAAAGTAATATCCCTATCCTCATATTATTTCTTTCTGTTCAAGTGAAACAAATGATCAGACAATGAATAATTGTGTTTTGTAAGTTCATTGGAGCACCGCACAATCTAGAATTAAAAATGGGATTATACCTTGATTTCTGTGTGGTAAAGAATCTATCGTCTTACTTTAAGATACTACAGAGTGCAGGCTAGCCTCCAAGCTTATGCACAAGGAAATTAAAGTCCTTTTGATGAACCATGCCTTTATGCACAAATTTCAAACTTTATTTGCACAAAACATCCATTTAGGTGGTGTTATTTGGATGGGACACGAGTTGAGAAAGTTGCTTTTTGGAGAGTCTGCTTTTTTGTTGTTTGATCTGTTAAGCTAGTTGATGATATATGCCCACAAATATTACCCAATACAGGTCGAGTCACTCTTGCCGAAGGGTGGATTCGGTTCAACTTCAACAATTAATTACATTCTTTTATTTATCAGTCACGAGCACGTGATTCCACCAATGCAAGGTCAATTAATACAATGAACGAGTCACAAGCTGTCCCTCTCCCTAATAATTTTTATCATTTTTTTAGCTGGGTCTGGCATTCATGTTAGTGTTAATGCATATATATCTCTCTTATATATATACAAACGAGTTAGGACCGTTCTATGATCGACATGTGTCTACTTTTGTGGTCTTAAAAAAATGACACGTGTCCAAAATTTTCATGCATAATTGTCCTCCATTTTCAGCAATTTTTACCGATGCTGCCATTATTGAGTGTGAAATGCCCTTGAATTTCAACTTTTTTTTTTTTTTTTTTTGNNTTTTTTTTTTTTTTTTGCAAATGATGTCCCTGCATTTATCATCACAGAAATAAAGTACTCTTTCTTCCTCATTTTTTGCTCATGTTTTGTCAGACATAGTCAAAAAGCAACCCAAAAAGTACTCTTTCTTCCTATTTTTTGCGCACGTTTTGTCAGACTTAGTCAAAAAGCAACCCAAAATTGTACCAAAAAAAAAAAGGTAACCCAAAAGAATGACTTTCTGATATTGGGATTGAACTGAATGGTGTTGCTTAATTCTTAAGCATATTGAAGAATTTTATCCATCAAACTTTAATAAATGTTCACTCCTCTCTCTCCAGCCGCGCACACTCTCTCAATCGGCGCCTCAGTCTTCGCCCCCTGCGATAGGATCTCCGAGAACCGGTGAGTGTTGATGGCCAACCTCACATCCACCTCCTCGACCCGCGCCCATCATCACTGAGTGCCTCCTCGATGTCGACGTCGACGCGCTACCCTGGCAGTCGATCGACACTTGTAGGGCGGCGTCACACCATAGTACAAAAAAGAGTCTGACAATCATGTAACCATTCTCTTCCTCTCACTCTTTTTCGCTTTCAGTCTTTCCCCCTTTCCCAGTTCAATTTCAGTCCGACTCCCCCTAGATCTGCTTTGTGCTTAAAAAGTTTGTAATTTTTGCATATTTTTCATGTTTTCAGGTCCCATTTATGTTCTTTAGATGATATGTTGAATGTTTTTTTTTTCGGCCCTACTCTTATCGTCTGAGTATATTTTTCTGTTTCTCATTTGTTAGTGATGCTTGAGCTGACAAGTAGTGGGCCGAGTCCCGGTAGCTCATGAGTGGCGGTGGTAGGGCTTATGAAGGTACATTCGTGGACGACGGCAGCAGCAGCTCTGATGGAGTACTCATCAGGTATGTACTATTTGTTACAGAAAGCATAAGTCTTCGTCTCCCACACTCACATTCTTAATTGCTCCTACAAATCCAATCTTTTTATTTTCATTCACAGAGCACCCACAATTAAACACTACCGGCGTGGCTACACACTCCGGCTGGAGAAGACAGGCTGAAGACAAATTTTCAGGTACTTTTATTCAGAAATAGAAAAACATAGTTGATATAAATTATAACCTGTTTGTTGCTTATATTTCTACACATTTGCCTGTTTGGTTGTGGCAACAAAGGGATTAAACTTTTCGGGTTCTGTAACAGGAGAATTTAGGCAGCTCAAGCGACCTAAACATCTCATATGGTACGTTGCGATGTTGTTATTTTAATCTACCTAATATATGTTTTGTAGATACGAATGAATTGCTTGAGGCGAACTATTTATCTACATGTCACACTAAAACTTTTGTTAACCAAGTGAAGTTGTACAATCTTTGATTTTGTCTAGAGTGGGATTTTCAGGGTGTTGTTTATGGGTTTGCGCTTGGTGAATGTTTTGAAACTGCACCAATAGGGGGCGAACTTCTCATGAAGGAGGAAATTGATCTGGGTGAGGCTGTCATCTTATCTTATTCTTTGCTTGGGTTCAAATGTCTTCTTAAGTCTCAATCTCAATAAGAAGTATTCTATTATGTAATTTTTCCTTCTCTACTCTCTCATCATTGTTGAGTTTGATAGTTTGGAGATGGTAGGTGAACTGAGACCATGGGATAAATATTTCAATGATGTTATTTGTTTGGGGTTCTGAATCCATCTTTGTTTTGTAAATTTGGTTGTGTCAGACTTTAGGGGAAAAGTCGAGGGAGAAATGACGTGGGAGCTGTGACATAGGTAATTTGCTTTGGTGTGCAGTTGGTGAGGTGTCAATGTGTTATCTTTTTATACTATTTTTTTTGTTGACGTTATTGATACTGTTCGAAGATGAATTTGATTTCTTATGCGGTTATTGCTTGGCTCTTACTATTATGAACTTTAATGGAGGTTATTTAGGTTGAAGGTTTTTATGTCAGCATTTAATGTCGATGAACTTCTATGTACTTCCATTCAACTAAGGTGAGAGTGGGTTATAAGAAGTTTAAGCATATGAAGTTGTTGAAAGCACCAATGGTCTCATGCCCGAAAAACCTGGGAAGGTAATTGTGTTTGATGTTTCTAATTCAAAAAAATGAACAAA